TATATCAAAAAAAAAAAAGGTCAGCAAAAAGATGGAGTTTTCCATGGTTTTCCCATTGTTCCGAAAAAAAACCTTGCCAAAAAGACACTGAGGTGAAGTCAGTCCCCGATCTCATCACCAAAGATCCCTCCGCTGTGAAGAACTGCGATGTGGTGCTCTTGACCGTCCCGTCTTCGTTCCATGAGTTCCCTGGGCGAAGAAAAAAAGACTTTTCACTGGGGTTCACCAACCAGAAACCCAACCCAGAAATCCCATCATCATCTGATACACTTGGTAAATGCTACAAATTCTTAGATGGTAAGAAATTATGAGTCAACATCATTATCATGGTGTATCTAAAAAAGATGTCTCTTGTGGGATCCAAATCATTTACCAATATACAGAATAGATACCCTCTGGTGAACTAACATAGCAATGGAAAATCACCATTTTCAATGGGAAAATCCACTATTTCTATAGCCATTTTCCATAGCTTTTTGTATGTTCACCAGAGGGTATATCATGTCATACCAGAGATGATGGAGGCCAATCACATCCAATCACATCCAATCACATCCGCTCGCTTTGCCTCGGTTGATAGAACTCATATAGTCAACCATATATTATATCCATCATATGTGTATATATATATGAATAATAATACTATATTGATAATGATAATGAAAATAATGATAATAATATATATAACATAATATATAAAATATATAATGATAATGATAATAATGAAAAAATAACAATAATAATAAAAATAATAATGAAAAAATACAAAATAAATAAGAATAATAATAATAATATAATAATATATGTATATATGTGTATTTATATATTATAGATGTTTGCCGAAAACCAAGCATAGCCAACAGTTCATTCCAATCCCAACTACCTACCATCGGGATATGTCGGATATGTTCATGCGATCCATCCCCTTTGCTGAATCCACCTACCAGGGATGACGTCAACATCAAAATTCCCCATGGAACATTTCTGGAATTCCCATAGGAATCCAACCTTTTCCAACATCCAAAATCCATTCTCCAACAGTTAGTTGATCGGTTCCCAGCTGACATGTCGGGAATCTGCAGGCAATATTTCAGTAAGTTGGAACCCTTCGTCCAGCCTGGGACGATCTTCGCAGTGATGCCAGCGCGCTCTGGCTGCGACTTCCTCTTCAAGAAGGTGTTCGAAGCATCCGATGATGGAAAATATGTGGATTACCCGGTAAACAGTCCCAAAAAACCATGGAAAGATCCACCATGTTTAATGGGAAAATCAACTATTTCGACTGGGCCATGGCTTCAATAGCAAACTGTTAGTCATTACCAGAGGGTATGTGAAATATGTTCCAAAATAGTGACATGTTCCCACATTTTTTCCCAAACTAAAAATGTGAAATCTTGAAGGAACATATATAATTATGGTTTATGAAGAACACACCATAGCTGTGAAATACGATTATCCCAAATCAATTGGGGTAGTCTGTGGTAATACAATCTCTAACATCACTGTATTACCCCAACATGTTTGTCCCGCTGGAGACAGGATAGACTCTATAGACTGAACAGATGCCATTGGCGCCTTCATCAATCGCAGGTTTTGGAGTTTCGCCCATTCCACATGTCCCAAACTTGGATATTCCCATAGAACTGATAAATTTCATGATATTTCCCCATGATATGTCCCATCCCCCCCCAAAAAAATTGAAGATTTCCCAACAAAACATGGCTAGATTTTCCCACCCATCCAAAAATTGGCATCTTCCAATCCCCAAAAATTGGGGGATTTCGGGATTTCCCATCAATCGGAGCATCTCAACAGGTCATGGGAGAAAAGGCAGAGACCTTGGGATTGGTGGCCTTTGAGACCTTGCCATGGGCCTGTCGTTTCAACGACTGGGGCAAGACAGCCACGGTGCTCGGAACTAAGGAGAGACAAGTTACGCTGCAGAAAATCCATGGTGAACATCTGTGAAAATTGCTCAGAAAGCTGGAAAATCCTGGAAAAGAACACGGAAGTTTGGGCAATTTCTGGTCGGTGTTGCAATTGTTACATCCTTGCAACTTGCGTTTCACATATATGGATTTGTCCAACAGATGGGGGTAGATCACACTTATATCGCCATGGAACAATGAAAACAATGATAGAATGCCATATGTTCCATGATTTTCCAAAACCATCAAAGATATCAAACATGATTTGAGATTTCCCTGGAATATGATAGAAAATGGCATTGGACAATGAGTTTTTTCTGGATATATCCCTCAAAAATCCATATCAAAAATGTGTGTTTTCCCCGTTTTTCAGAGCGCTCCGACTGGGATTTTTTATGGAGGAGTCCATCGGTGCTGCGGTGGTGCCTCCTGTGAAACAGACCAAGATGGACGTGATACTGAAGCTCCAAGGTCTGGTTTTTGTTGGTTTTTGAGGAGGTTTTGATGCTGCGTTTTTGGGCTTAAAACATCTTAAAACATGCGAAAAAAATCACAAAAAAAAAGCACCACCAGGTTGTTTGTTGGTTTGGTGGTACAAATGTTTTTTTATTTTTAATATCAGAAATGAGGATTTCACCAATAAACGTGAGGATCTTCTGGAATCGAAGCTGCACAGTGGAAAACAACTTGAGGATTCGCAAGGCTCAGTTCATCCTCAAAGATTTGTAGCTTGGGATCTACAGGTGTTTCTCAAAGCTATAGATTTTTGATGATTTTTGAGCGGCAAAACATGGACATGGATTGATCAGTGAATTATTGAACTGAACTTCTGAAAAACCACTTTGGCTGAACCGGTTCGCATTGATGTTTTTCATGAAGTGAAAGATACTGGAAGGGAAATCACATGAATTTCATCCCCCAGTTGATAGGGATTCACATGCTGCATCCCGCGTTTTTTTCATTGGCAGATCATTTTGCCAGGGCTTCTGGGTGTAGAACCGAAGATCGTCGAATGTCCAAACATCATGAGCATCAGCTTGGGCAATCCCGGCCAAGTCATCCACCCCGGAGTGCCGCTCGGTGCTTCGCTTCGATCTTCGGTTCGTCGGTCGCTTGAGGATGTCCTCAGTTTCCAGCCCTGTTTTTGTTTTGGATGGAGCCGGAAAAAAATAGAAACCATTCATTTTCAACAATCCATTTTCAACATCCCATCATCCGCCATTCAAACAAAATCATGATGATCATCAATCCGCCATTCACATGGGTATATTTCATGATGTATATGATCATTGTGGATGACCATTCAATCATGGCCATTCATATATTAAACCATCATGACCATTCAATCATATATTTCATGATGTGATGGGTTAGATAACCCTAACAATCACATATGGGCCATATGGGTTATAAATCATTGGAACCTATGTATTTCATATATTAAACCATCCTGACATGATGATCATTTATTTCCATGATGTGTTGGATTGATGGGTTAAAAAAAACGCCCAGAAAAACATCGACCCATGGCGCCAAGGACCTACGGCCGATGGCACAAGTGGGATGGTAAGCCTTTGGCTAAGAAGCCCTTGTTCTACCAGGCCGTTGATACCCCTGGCGTTTTTTTTTGAAATTTGAAGGGATTTTTTTAAAGGAAGTTTACGCTTATTAATGAAAAGTGATTAATGCATGTTGATGAATGTTGATGATGATTAATGAATGTTAATGATGATTAATGATTAATGAATATTGACGATGGTTGATGATGGTTAGTGATGGTTAATGATGGTTAATGATGGTTCGTGAGTGTTTATAATGACCTATTGGCAAGATGTATGTTGCTATTAACATGTGAAACATTGTACAAATATTGTGTGTATGCCAAAAAACATCGATTTCTTCAAACGAAGTGTTCCAGAATTTATCCATGTAATGTCATCATATGTCATCCATGTTTTATACCCTCTGGTAAACTAACATAGCTATTGAAAATGGCCATAGAAATAGTGGATTTACCCACTGAACATGGTGATTTTCCATCGTTTTTTGGGACTGTTTACCAGAGGGTATTCCATATATTGGGAAGAATACTCCCAACTGTTACTCACTCCATCATTTTTCAGAGGGGTAGGTTTACCACCAACCAGTCCATGTTTTACATCCAACATCCTGGCCATAGAAATAGTTGATTTACCCATCGAAAATGGTGGATCTTTCCATCGTTTTTTGGGACTGTTTACCAGAGGGTGATCATCCCATGATTATGGTGAGTATCCCAACTGACAAATATTTTTCAGAGTAGGTTTACCACCAACCAGTCCATGTAAAACACATCCTGGCCATCCTGGCCGTCCATCCTGGCCGTCCCCCATCAGGGTGTGGACAACGAGACGGCCGACGTGCTCACGGGCATCTCAGATGACATCACCAAGATCTGCCAAGGTCTGAAGAGGTTGGATCCGAACTACGACTTGTCCCAGGCACCGAAATTCGGGGGATCTCCATAGATCTCCCAATTTGGATCCAATGTTGGCAGATGTTGGCAGATGTTGGATGGTAATATTCATGATATTTAGGATATATATAATATATGTGGGTTTGTAATTATGGGATATAGTGTATTATATATATTAATTATTATGGGTTATATATGTTCTTACACTTTGAGGCAGTCACCCCAGTTTTGATTCATAGAAAAAGGTGTCAAAAGGTGTTGGTGTGCAGGTTGAAGTGGAAAACTCAACAAAAAACAAACAGGAAACATGTATGTTTTATGGATTATTATGGATGTTTATGTGTTCTACCAGAACATGTTCCTGCTGCACGCAAAAAATTCAAAAGTTTCCGCCGCCAGAAAATGCTGCGAATTGCGAGGGAGATGGTCCATCTCCAGTTTTTCCAATGGACCATGCTAAAAGTTAAGAAAGATGAGAAAGATGAGAATGATGAGAATGATGAGAATGATGAGAAAGATGAGAAAGATGAGAAAGATCCACATCCAACCACCACATGTATCAAAAATCCAGGTTTCACCCAGGGTTTCACCTTAGGTGAAGACCATCATGGAATGGTACATGGCCAGCTATTCCACCAGTATCGCAGATGCCTCGAATCTTAGAGCAGCCATGAATACCAACAGCGCCTATGAGGGCCTTTGTCATCCTATGAAGGAAGAACAAGGTGGGACGTGGAAGGGACGTGGAAGGGACGTGGAACAGCTATGTGGAACAGCTCTGTGGGATATTGTTTTTGTTGATTTTGTTGATGGGAATGCAGTGGGATGGAAAGAACGAAGATGGGAGAGCATGGAGACCTATTTTTTTTCGGGTAAGAACTATCCCAAAGCATCAACCATCAACATCCATCCACATCCATCAAGCACGAACTTTTCTGATTCCAGGCGGCTACATGCCGGACTTCAACTTCCGATATCTCAGCGAAGACGTTCCCACGGGCTTGTGCTTCACCCGTGGCGTAGGAGAACTGCTGGGGGTGAAGACCCCTAGCATCGACAAGGTGCTGCTCTGGGCGCAGGAGAAACTCAAAAAGGAGTTCATCGGAAAGGACGGGGCCGGGGATGATGAAAATGGCAGAGCTGGAAGTTTGAAAATGGGCTCGGGGAATATTTTTTGAAGGGTATATGATGGTATATATGGTATATAGAATGGTATATATGATGGTATACCTGATGCTATATATGATGTATATGGTATATATGATGTATATGGTATATATGATGCATATGGTATATATGATGGATAATTTATGACTGAGTTTGAGGTGGTAGATGGTGATAAATCCCAAAGTGAGATTTGGAGATTCACGTGATGAGAAACACTGGAAGTCCCAGGATGGCAAAATGAACGGCGCCAATGTGGGTGAAACCCGAGCTCCACAAGCCTTTGGGGTGACCAGCAAAGATGCCCTGTGTAAGTTCCTGAAGATCAAGAAGGAAGCTGCTTGCTGCGGCTTTTGCTGAGCCGAAAAAACCATGGGAAAATATGGGCCCTGTGCCCGAAGATTGGCCACATGGCCAGGCCAAAGTACGGGAAGATTGGACAGCTGAAACTCCGCGTATTGGCGGTTTTCGGCCGCACAAAATCCGTCCACTTCTCGCCTTGTCACTATGACAAAGCCATGGCAGGGCCGTGAACCAGTTGTTTCAACGCTGGCATGGTGCTATGTGGCTTAGCTGGCGGGATTTGGCGTTGAGCAAATGTTGGACAGTTGAAAAGCCGTAAAAAACTATATCTGATTATCATCATCTGACACTAACAGCTACCAGACCCCAATCATCTAACTTCTAATCTCTTCAAGACTCAGATTTTTTTGCACTGAATGCTTCCAATTGTTGGACTTGGGCAACAGCTCGCATCATTTCAACTCCTTTTTCGTCCATGAAATGGAACTCGATCGCCTCACATTGCTTGTAACAAGACAGAAAAGGCGCGGCAACGCTTTCCATTTGAAGATCAACAAAGACATTCACAGTGCCGATCAGTTCATATGGTAACTCTGTCGCATGGCAGGTGCTGGGACAACAGAACAGGCAGCTCTGGTGGCTGCGGAAAAGTCCGGAAAAAAATGCTCAGGTTCAGCGAAATGTCAGTGATCCAGCTGGAAAAGTGTCTTTTTGGGCCAAGCTGAGGTCAGATTAGTTTGTTGAATGATCAGCTGTAGCAAGATTGAAATCACAATCAAGAGCAAAGAGAATGATGCTTTGTGTGTTTCTGCAATGAGTTGTATCAGTTTGATCAATTTCAGACGGATCAAGCCTCGCTTTGAATCTACGTTTCATCACGTTCATGGTATCAGATGTATCAGATTCTTCCACCACTAGGCTGGGGCCTTTTCGACGTTACTGGCGTTTCATGATATGTTTCCAGTGACAACTGCTGAGTTCAGCATGGGAAGAAGTCATGGTGGGATTGCATTGAGGTCATTAAGGTAATGACTGCTTGTTGCAAAGTCTGCTTCAGAGATGTGGAAAAAGATGCCAATACTCCCTCTTTGGGCTCACAGCGGACATAGAGCGGACATCGCGCGACGGGGGTTGCTGCAGGTTGCTGCGTTCCCCTCGCGCCGATGAGAAAGACACCGAACCACCCCATGCTCCAAATGACCTCTTGACCCTCCTCAAACAATCCTGGTGACCTACGCTTGGTATGCGGTGCTGGGAGAAATCGTTGAGAAAAGCTGATTCCAGGCCCAGGATTATCAGATGTGAGAGGAAAAATCGGAGAGGGTCTGAGATTGTCCTTCTAGGCCTGGTTATTCATGGTTTGTTGCGTGCATCCTTCCAATTACGAACCAGTGTATGCTGTACTCCAATAACCAGCAAAACGAGAGGAACTCACTTTTAGGCAGATCAGTGGTTTGAGTTGAGTTGGCTTGACCAGGGTTGAACAGGAGAGTGTTCAGGTGCATTGACTTCATACTGATTGAAAGATATTTGAAATGATGAGGGACAAAACAGCGATTCAGATTGATTCAATTTGATTCAGCCATGTGGAAATTATGGATTAACGTTAAGGCAGCCTCTCATTCTCCAGGCATCTCCAGCCTCATTGTGCATCCGAAAAAGGAGAACCTTGAGGAGAACACAATTGGACATGCTGCTTGGCTGGAAGGTTTATCTGGAAGTATCTGGAAATATCTGGAATGTGGGACCTTTCACCTGGGTAGACGAGTCAGAGGATGGCGTATATTCCATGGAAAGCCACTAGATGGCACCAACTCAGGCGTTGGGCGGAAGATTTTTACCAGAGGCGATGTTTTTTGAGGCACATATGAATTCTAGAGGTGACATTTGGCAGAGGACGGCCCCCGCTAGTTGCTGAAAGTATCTTTTAACATGCAATACGGCGTTACGAGGTCTATGAAAAATGCATAAAAATCCTCAGGATGAACGTAACCAGCTGCTGTTTGCTTTGCAGCCATTGGATGGATTTAGGATCGACAGGCTGTCAGGCTTACAACTCACAGCACTGAGGTATAGCAGATTCCACAGAGCCGGAAGCATCCTTGATTCCAATGTCGCCTTTCGAACTCTGTTGGAGCTGGTTCTCTGAGGATTTCTGCCGCCTTGCAAATTCATGTGGCGCCCACGATGTATTGATTTCAAATCAATATTGCCCAGAATACAATTTCAACTCGATGTCAATCAATCGAAATCGAAACAGCACTGCAGACACTGAATGTGCCATTCAAGGATAAGAAAGGATGGGAGTTTGAAGGCCCAGTCCTGCTCTTCCTTGAAGCACGTTGTGCCTTGAGGGCCATGAGGAGATTCGGATTCAATCTTGGCAGTTACTTTCCAGTGTTTGTTGGCAGTTCGCCACCTTCCAAGCTGTTTCAATCCCAAGCAATCTGTGATGCGTATTCAGGCTTTATGGATGATTGATACCCATGAACATATCCTCTATAAAATGAGAGGGGTCAAGGCATGCCATATTTCGTTTTATGTACCTCCAGCTGCAGCCCTTTAGGGGGTCACTCACCCTATTTTATAGTGATTTTAAGGTTGTAGGTGAAATCTGTCGAGATTTGTTCAGGTTTTTGCAGTGCAGCCATGATCCAGGTTGTTCTTATCCACAGCCATTGATCATTTGATCAAAGATGCCTCGGGTGGGGGCACAACCTCTGAAAGGGAGCCCGGCCCTGTGCCATGTGAAGACATGCTCAGGGAAGATGGGCAAACCATTTCTTTGCATTCCTTCATTTTGGCTCCAATGCCGCCCAACTGCCACCACACAAAAGGCTGGCTTCAACCTTTCAACCCACTATGAAATTGGTGATTGAGCCAGCATCTGCCATCCTTTTGCATTCCTTGATGCCAGCCCTGGCCTTTCAATGGGCCATTTTGAAATAGTGTATGGCAACTTGTATCATTTCCAAGTGCTGCCACTGTAAAATGGCTGGCCTCAACCTTTTCAACCCACCATGAAGTTGGTGATTGAGCCAGCATCTGCCATCCTTTTGCATTCCTTGATGCCAGCCCTGGCGTTTCAATGGGCTATTTTGGAACAGCATGGGCTACTTGTATGATTTCCAAGTGCTGCCACTATAAAATGGCTAGCCCCAACCTTTCAACCCACCATGAAATTGGTGATTGAGCCAGCACCTGCCACCCTTTTGGGTTGAAATTGCCTGGAAAGCTGGGTATTCAACCCCATCACCCATTTCAAATTGGGTTGGTGGGTTGAAGCTAGCCATTTGATAGTGGCTAGATTTGGGAAATTGTGCAAAAATAGCCCATTGAGAGGCCAGGGCTTGCATTTGGAGGCATTGGAAGCAAAATCCAGGAATACAAAAGGATGGCAGATGCTGGCTCAATCACCTATTTCATGGTGGGTTGAAGGTTTAAGGACAAGTAGCCCACACTATTCCAAAATTGCCCATTGAAAGGCCAGGGTTGGCACTGGGCGGCATTGGAAACAAAATGAAGGAATGGCAAAATCAAAATGAAGGAATGGCAAAATCAAAATGAAGGAATGGTAAAATGGTTTGATTCTAAGTGAGGTGCTGAAATCTGTTGACTTGCGCCTTGACCATTTGTAAAGGGAACCAGTCATTTTATAGAGATTTTCTAAGTAATTTCCAGGTGTTCTGGGATCAGGCCGCCTCAAAATATAGTGTTTTCATTTGGGTTGGGGCCACTCATTTTATCTGCAGTGTCTAGTCATTTTATAGTGAAAGCCATTTTATGTCTATAAAATGGCTTGCAGGACCCCCTCCCGTGTATGTTCATAGGGATGATGATTGCAGTATAGATTTTGTGCAGCATTTCCAACTACACTGCCAGAGCAATTCCCAGCATTGCAGTTCTTCTAGTTCTTCTCATGCTCAGCTTCATATCCAACCATTTCACTCCTTTGGTTTAGCCGATCCACCCAAGCAGCGCCCAGCTCATGCGAATTCAACCACTGCAGCTAAACGCGCTGTGCAACCTGTTTGACTGCAAACATTGGAAAGGTAGCGGGTCGCATGGCCCAAGCAGTTTCTCAGATTGTTCCAAGGTTTGCAAGGTCAGACATCAGCTTCCGACGTCGAAGACCTGTTCAGATGTGTGAATGGTTATCACATTCCATATTGCCAAAGCTCACACAGACTTCCTGCTTGAAGTTCTTGTGGCCAACAGCTTTCTCATGTGCTTGCAAGGCCCCCATGTCTAGCCGCTTCCTGCAGGAAGTTCAAATCCATGGCCTGCAGAGGGCGTTGAGCGCCGGGTTGCCTTGGATGCGGCGCCAGTTCAAAGTTGTTAGTTTTCTTTCTAAGTTTGTGATGAGTTTGTGATGATTTTGATGCCGGTGCTTTCAGTTTGAACGCTTTGCGCTTCCAAAATGATCTGAAAGCCATTCATCATGGGGAAGTTTCATGGGGAAGTTTCATGACATCATGCATCATAGCACAGCGACACATGCAACCATGAAACCCAGCGTGGTTACAACGGCGCAACGACATTCAGCCAGGTTCGCACAGGGACACGTGTGTCTTTGCAAAGCTATGTTCATTGCTCTTACAGATGCCATGTACATGGATGCAGGGTTGAAACAGCGTGCACTTCAACACTGGGGTCTTAAAACAAGGGAAGTTTACACAGGCTTAGCCTCCCTGTAATTGCAGCTGATGCAAAAGTGAACAGTGACAAGATGTGACAAGTCTTTAGGGGCAAACGTGTGGTTGAGCATGGATGCAAGAATGACCAGATAGGGCAGCAATACTAGTCTTCTGATAAGCAACGTTGCCTTTGACGGACCTTCCCGCTGAGCCCATGCAATTTTCACGCAAGAGCGATAGATGTTCTGCGTGTGTGTGAATTAAGTTTTGCAAGTAGCAAGGGCATTTCAGTGCTGCAGGGGAATGGGTGTATACCGTATACCAGTGTTTGATAGTAGAACAGCTGCGCCAGGGAGAAATAGCATGGTGCTTTTACAATTATGGGCTGTTCCATTCCAGCTGGATGTTTACTGTCAAACTGTTGGCATTTGTTGGCATGTGGGGTTTGGGGGGGTCACTTGTTTCAAGCACATGTGCAAATGTTTGATTGGCCCATCTAGCATCCAAAAACGTCACCATACGTTCGAACAGTGTTGGACACCTCTGTTGGACGTTGGACACAGAGCCCTTAACCAGGATGATTTCTGCGCGTGTGAAAAACAGCCTCTTTGAGATTGGGCTCTTAGGATGTTGCCTTCGGGCAAACTGCCAATGCGCCTGCCTCACGCCCCAGGCTGGGGTATAGCCTGGGATCACAAACGGAGATTGAGGTTTTGGAAGTAGCTTCTCCCATCGCTTTTCAGCTTTTCCATGAGATATCCGGAATTTACATGAATTTGTCACTATCTACGGTAGCGCATGTCCAACCGTCCAACCCTGCTTGACAGTGGCACAATGTGGCACATGTTGTTCAATCTGATTCTGCCACGTCGAAACCCTCATCGGACACGGACAGGCGGGTCAGTTGCGTGTACCAGGCCGAAAGTCTGACATCAGTGAAAACTACAGCACATGGGGATGAATTTCAAAGAGGCTTGGAAAGCTGTTTTGCGATTACTTGTCTTTTCCGAATTTTTGAGTTTGGTTGTTTTCTGTTTAAACTTTGACCCTCACAGGAAGCATGTGTACAATCAAAATTCGGCCAAGGCGGCGACGCTTGCACCAGCAGCAACGCCGGGTCCTGGTCAGGCTTGGAAACATAGGGCAAGATTGGCGAGATGTTCCTACCATTTGCATCCATTTGCGCACTTTGGAGATGGCTGCTGTACATGATTAGAGGAAAGATTTGAAATAATTCACATGATTTCTCATAATTCGAGTCGTTTTGGTGATGGCAAAATCAATTATCTTTGAGGCCACGGAAGTCCTGTGACTTTTTGGGTCAGCCACTGCCGACGATTTCCAGGTCTCCAACTGCTGGGCTCTTGGGGATCGGTCTAGATTGCGATGTCACGGCGATGTCCGGCTCGCAGCATGCCGTCAGTATGTTTTTGGTGTTGAGCTTTTGGCATGTTTTGGCTTTTTGGTGTTGAGCCAACAACAGAAAACTACCACAAGATATTCAAGATACCATTTATTTGTATTGTCGCGCAAAAAGCAACCATGTGCCCTGGGCCAACCTTTGTGACACCCTTGTGACACCCTTGCGACCTTTCAGTTTTCGGCTTCAGACGGCTTGCCACGCATTCCAGCTATTTTCCAGCTATTTTCCAGCTATCTTCCACCATGCGTATGCAGCGTACGCAATGTGCACAGTGGATGCTGTGGTACCGCCTGGTCCTGTTCGCCTGGACCGCAGTCCTCATCGCCGGAGGCGCTGTCGCTTGGAAGTTCATCTCGAAGCGCGGCTTTCATCTTCCAGCGATTCCAGGCGCCATGCCATGAAATGCCATGAAATGCCATGAAAACCCTGTTTCGATCGTATGATGTGCAGCAACTGCCGTATAGATCCCCAGAACATCGAGCATCCCAGAACATCCCAGAACATCCCAGAACATCCCAGAACCCAACTTTCGCACAGTGACACACGTTGATCATGTTGCATGCTGTTGCCGTGCCAGGCAGCCAGTACGACAAAGAGGAGCAGTCGTACCTGGGTTTCTTCGGTGATGGTGTGGATGGGGCTCAGGCTGCGCTGGTGCTTGGCAGTGATTCCCCAGTCATGGCGATGACCAACGTATCTACCTGTCAGATCAAACCAGCTCTGCAACAAGTTGGGAGCACTGGAAACACTTTCCAGTTGGAGTTGTCCTGTCAGAATGAGTCTGCACCTGGCGGTGGATGTATCACATCTTCACAACTCAGAAGTGAAGTGTACTCGCTGGTGAGCATGTTCATGTCCAACATGATGTCGCCAGAGAATTTGTCTCACTTCCTCGAACGACAGGTGGAACCAATGCTGGATGCTGCTCCGGAGATGTTGGCTTGTCCGCATGTTGAGGACACCTTTCAAAAAAACCTGGCAGAAGCATCTTTCCAAGTGGAAGAGTCCCTTCGCCAGAAAATGCCGAACTGCGACTTAGCAGTTCTGTCTTTCTGGTCTCTGCCTCCTCAACAGTTTCAGCGCAACTTGACCTTTGCAGAGTTCAAGTTTGAAGTCACGGTCACGCTCCCAGCAGGAAGCTTTTGGAATGTTTTTCAAAAACTGCTCAGCTCCAAAAGCCAAGAACAAATCATGGTGGCAGTTCGTGCGCACACATGCAACGGCTTGCCAGTTGCTGACTTCTCACAGGAGGCTCTTCAAGTGGCCAGCATTCTGAAGGATGTTGCAGAGGCGGCAGAGGGCATCGACGGTACCAACTTGAAAGCCGAAGTGATGTCCTTCGCCATCATCGTGGAAAGTATCAGAGATGGGGTTGAAGTGGTGATGGCCATGTCAACAGGTCGGGCCTGGTAGGGATTTTCAGTTTTCATCAGAAATGCGGCAGCCGTTGTAGTTCCAGTGTCTTTTTCAGCCTTTTCAGCTTTATTTTTTTGTGAAAAGTCTCCATGTCATTTTGGAGTGCGGATTGAATATAGCCGAGTGCTGCTTGAAACCGGAAACCTGCTTGGATGACATGTTTGCTGAATTTCTACTGGTGCAGGTACCCTTCCCCTTGGGATTGCGGTCTTGGCATACATGGTGGGGAACCCGCGCTTGGTGATCATTGCCATCATCAATGTACTAGCTGCCGTCACAGGTTCGGTGCTAGTCATGGAGTGCCTTGTAACCCACCTGATGCCGGTGAGCATTTTCACGCCGCCCTTCTTGATTGCAGTGGTCCTGTCCATGTCCATTGACTATGCCTTGTTTCTTTTGAGCAGATTCCAGAAGGAGACAGCAGCAGGTGCAGCAGCAGCTGAAGCCATGGCTATCAGCCTTTCCACATCTGGCCGTATCGTCGCGCAAGCTGGTGTGATCTTAGCATGCTGCTTTGCCTGCTTACTGATGACGCCAGTGCAACTGGTCAGTGCTATGGGAGCAGGTGGGCTTGTGGCGGTGGCTGTGGCCATGGCGGCCAACCTCACCTTGACCCCAGCTCTGATTTTAGGAACGCGACCCACTTTCTGGATTAGCAAGCCCAATGCACCTTGTCGACCTTGTCGTCAATGTCGACCTTGTCGTCAAGCTCCAGAGGGAGATGCTGAAGCACCAGGTGACGAAGAGTTGCATGTTCCCAATGTTTCCATGGGCTTTTGGCGGAGATTTGGGGAGCGGTTGACGAGCTGTGTTCTTGATTCTACTCTCTGCAGCCCCTTGCGTTTGGAAGGACTCGATGCCTTCTTCAGACATGTTGGGTTTCACACCAGCCCTTCCACAAGGCTCGTCCACAGCCAAAATCTTCCACAGCATTGGTGAAGAGTTTGGATATGAAGTTCTTTTCCCCACAACAATTGGGCTTGTGGCTCCAGCTGAAGTGAACCTGGAAGCGTGGAGGCTCCAGGCTTGCAAGGCTTTACAGGAGATTGGGGAAGAGGTGTACAGAAGTGACTTCACGAGTTCAACCTTCATGAGTGAAGTCATCATTGATGGCAAGTGCTTGGCAGTTGATGTTGCTGGAAGTCTGCTGAAGTGGTGGCAAACCAATGGACAGGAAGGTACCGTCGCCTACATCGACTACCCATTGAATCCTTTGTCCATCGATGGACAACGATGGACCAAGAGCTTGCAGAGAGCTGTGGAAGACCATCATCGGGGCAGATGGTATGTGCATGGATATGGTCCACTCTTGTCCAGCCAATCTGGTGAGATTCGCGAGTTCTTTCCATATTTGGTTGTTGCAACGGTTTGCGCGGTCCTTCTCATTTCCATTTGCTTCACACGATCTGTTTTATGGAGCTTGCGGGCCCTCCTTTGCCTGTTCTGGATGTTAGCTGTTCTTTGGTGTTTGTCCTCCCTCGTCTTTCCTGAAGGGCTGTACTACATTGTGCCTTCCATGATGTTGCCCTTCCTGGTGGGTGTGGCCTTGGATTATGACATTTTCTATACTGAGGCAGTCTTGGAAGAATGCAATGGTGGCCTCCCAGTGAAAAAGGCTGGCATCAAAGCGCTTGAGAAGACTGCCAACATCATCACAGCAGCCGGAGTGGTCAT